TTTACCAAATATTAGAGATAATAAATAACTTTTTAAAAGGGTTTTTTTCTATAGGAAAAGATTCAATCTATCACCTTAAGTCTCTCTGAAAAAGACTTACATATTCAAAGTGTTCATTCCTATGTCTTCGGAATACTCAAACTAAAATTACAGAACCAGGAGTTTTCTGACCATGCACAAGATAGTCTAATTGCATTTTGTAAATTACATTTTTTTTTTTTTTTGAGACAGAGTCTCACTCTGTCACCTGGGCTAGAGTGCCATGGTGTCAGCCTAGCTCACAACAACCTCAAACTCAGGCGATCCTCCTGCCTCAGCCTCCCAAGTAGCTGGAAATACAGGTGCATGCCACCATGCCCAGCTAATTTTTTTATTGTTAGTAGAGACGGGGGTCTCACTCTTGCTCAGGCTGGTCTCAAACTCCTGAGTACAAGCAATCCTCCTGCCTCTGCCTCCCAGAGTGCTAGGATTACAGGCGTGAGCCATGGTGCCTGGCTCTAAATTACATTTTAAAAGGCAATGCATTAATGAGAAGGAATAGGTAAATTGAAGAGCAACTGAGTGAAAGAAGGGAAGGGAAAGAAGGAAGGAAGAACAGAAGAAGGAAAGAAGGAGGAAGGAAGGAAAGAAAAGAAAGAAGGAAGGAAGAAGAGGAAGAAAGAGAATAAATACATGAATGTAGAGGGGAGCTCTGAATGCCAGAAAAAAAAAATTAGGTATTTTCAGCACAGAAATGAAAATGGCTGTTCCACAGAACAGTCATTTGTTATACGATTAAATATATACAATGGCTGGTTTTATAAATCTGACCTCCCAGGGATCAGAGGCCTGAAATTAAATTTACATTCAATCTAATCCAACTTGGATTCGAAAGCTAGCAGTTAATACAAGGGACATTCTATCTGGTCATTTTCACATTTATCTTCCTATTTATCATGCTTCTCCACGACTAATCAGACGTGACAACGTAAGATCCTTGCTACTGTCAGCTGATATAATCATTCTTTTAGCTATATGCTCATTCATCAAGTGTCTGAGTTGTAAGTACTTCAGAATACCCAAACTAAAAGTGTAGATTTGGAGGTAAGATTTAAAAGAGAAATTTACAAAAACGAGGTGACTGAATTAGCTATTTAAAAATGAGAAAGAAGAAGGAAGAAACAAAGGAATGAAGGAATGAAGGAACGATAGAAGGAAGGTTATAAT